GGGGGGGGGGGGGAGGGGGGGGGGGGGGGGGGGGGGGGGGGGGAATGGTTGGCGCACACGTGTAACTGGACTGCACGTGAATCCATGACAGAGTTGCGGCTCGAGTGAGTAGCATCTACGATCGACGCGCCGCCACGTGGCTATCAGTTATTTCTTTATTTTTTTTAGGTATGTCCCTAGAAAACACGTTTTCCTTAAGGGGTCTCCTCAGTAGGGCAAAACGGCGATGGGCGCGCGGGTGAGTGGCGCGTAAAATGATTAAGGTAGTGAGGTTATTTTCGAGAGAGACGAAACATCAAACATGGCGTGCGTTAGATAGTGACAGACATCACGCCAATTATTTTTATCGTTAATTTATTCAACAAATTAGTGGCAAAACTCGATGGGACTTCATTCCCTTATTTTTGAGAGTTTAATATAAATAAATATAGCTTCGTTTGTTGGCTAGCACATTGTCAACAGGGTGAGGGGTAAGGGACAAAATTTCGTTCTTAAAGCCCATGTATAAGCAGAAATTCGAATGATTAATTGAAAACGAATGAAACGATAAAACTACTCAGAGTTTTTTTTAGAATTTCCTTTTACCATTTTTGATTATTATATTACATATTCAATTCACTAGCACATTGTCGTTTCGTGGCGAAAATTACTGAGGAGACCCCTTAAGATTGTCCCCATGTTTTTCATGGATGATGTTTATAATAGCCCCCAGTTGTTCAAAAAAATGTTAACTAGCTGTACTGCACAATTAACAAGATAATAAATAATGAAATGCGGGCTTCTAACACGCGAGGTATCGGCCAAATGGGGGCTATGGGTCCCCCCTAATGCGATTTTTCTATCTTATGAGAAAACGGTTCTTACGATGTTCTTAAAAAACTAATCCATGTTAGATTGATAAATTCCGAATACGGTGAATTTTTTGTAAAATTTTGTACTGCATAGTTTCTGGGATATTCAACTCTAAAAAATGGAAATTTCGTGAAAGCATTCCTTTCTTGATTCAAAAAATTAATTAACAAATAATTTCGTATTTGATTCAAACAGTTTTTGTTGCCTGCATCAATATAATATATAATAACACATGAGAATAGAAAAACTCAATAACTTATGAGAATGTAATAAATTAAGTTATTTAGAATTTTTTGTGGAAATCCAAAAGGACTAACTTTTGGGTCCAATTGTCTTGTGATATACCTTAAATGATTTTTAGTGTGTTTAAATGTTAAATGTTGGTCATTTCCGTGGGTTTTGGGAGAATTTTTTTTTCAATATAAGAAAGATCAGGGGATATTGGAGAAATAATTACGACGTCAATTAAATTGTATGACACTATGACAATTGTCGTAATTATTTCTCTAATATCTCTTGACCTTTCTTATATTGATTAATATTATGGAGATGAGAACAATTATTAATTTTTTTTTCGTTTTTGTAATGAAAAATGAAATTTTAGAACGGCTGAAAGAGGAGGAATGGGTTGAGACTTTTGACTTTTGAAATGACTTTTTCCGTGTCAGTTCTTATCACCCCTGCGGAAAAACTCCGGAGAAATCAACGGAATTGAGGGAAATCTGAGAGAAATCGGTTCTTCCTCTTCCTTTCGTGAAAATGATTCTTATCCTCCTCAAACATTATTCCCGCGTAAAATCACACGTTTCCAGTTTTTCCATCGCAATGTTTTGATTATTCAGCGTACATTACTCGTAGTCGATGAAAAATTCTCCAGTCACGTCAGCAAACTGCGTTTTAATCGGAAATAAGCATGCGTTTAAAATATTTTCCTTTTTCGCGGCGTTTACTCTTATCGTTAAACAGGTCAAGGTCTTCACTGCTGAATGGAATGATTCTAGGGATAATGATAGCGGTCAAATTTACGTTTAAATTCGACGGTGGGGGTGATTATTTCATTTGAAAAATTATTTTAATTTCGTGATTTTTATTATCATATGACTACGCAGAGAAAGCTTCAGGAAAAATTACGTGACAAAACACGGAAAAAATGAGAAACGCAACATGAATTTTTTATATTAAATTCTGGCAATAGGGAACTTGCACAATTTTTTTTTGAATGTTTTAATCTCAAGTTTCGGCTCTGCATGATTATTTTTTCCAATCGGATGTCGACCGATCAGAGCGCAGTATTTGAGATTAACCGACAATTGCAAATATTTCGGATATTTCCTCTTAGCTTTTGAATATTTCGCAGTAGCCCTTCATTTTTTCCGCTCATTTCAGATCGAATCTTGTATTTGACAGTCTACGGAAATCGGGTTATTCTATTAACATAATTTGTTCAAATTTTCCCTAATTCATCTCCTGATGTTGTCCACTGCACTCTGATTGTGCCAAGTTTTGTACACGGAGAGAAATGTTTAGTAAAAATTACGGAACTCATAATTCGCTCACCGATTACGAAATCGATTCAGAGAATTTAAGTGACAGTATCGGAATTTTTCACAGGAGATTCAGATAAAAATTACGGAACGCTCTGGAATAATTCCGTGACAGTTCCGTAAAATTTCCTACAACCACATTTTATTGAATATTTCTCTCCGTGTAGAGAAAACCATCGCACAAGCGCTCGGGATTTTTAACCTGCAAAACTTGACACCCTCATCTGTTTGCAACGAAGCGATTGGAAAATACCCGACAATTTTGAAGCTCTTGGGGTATTACTACTGACAAATTTTTTTTTAATATCGCGAAAGCTGAAGATTTCAAACGCTTTTAAATCGCTAGTGACGTCACAGAAGTGGTCTAACGCTGAACGCATGACTCGAGCCGACCAATAGATGACAGCAACTCTCCACTCCCCTCAGCAGTGTCAAAATAGTATATTTCGTTACGAGTGCGGAAAGAGTTTTTTTTTCTCGCCTTCGGCTCGTGCTTTAAACCTCCCACGAGCCAAAAAAACACTTTTCCCACGAGTATCGAACGATATTTTTCATCACAATGTGCGGAAAAGGGACGTTTTAGGCACGCGAAGGGTGCCTAAAAAGTTACTTTTTCGCACAGCGTGATGAAAATATAATTTATGCACGAGA